TGCGCTGCTTTACTTTTAACTAGCTAACGTCTTTGAAGAAGGCAGTCAAGTAAGAATTGCATTGTAGTATGACTCATTTCCTGGCGCGTACAATTTATATTAGCGTTCGCGGTTTGACTTCTGATATTAAGATCGAGTTCTAGGTCAAACTGGTTTGTTCGACTTTCAAGAAATTCGAGTTCTAGTAAGTTTGAGAACCGAGGTACCACTGTATTTGGTTGCATACTCCTTGCTTGAATTAACTGCATCAAGCCTACAACCCATAGACTCCACCATATTTCTTGTTTCTTCTTTGCTTATGCCTTTTACCACAGCATCCTTTAGTTGTTGTCTGTTTTGTGGGGTTTCTTCCTTTAGTCTTCTTTTGAGAAGGTGAAATGCATGTTCATTTTGGTTAAGGTCTGGTGATTGACTTGGCCTTTCATCTTTTTCCCCCTGATGAAGTCCTTTGTTGAGGTGGCAGTGTGTTTTGGATTATTGTCTTGCCACATGATAAAGTTCCTCACATTAGTTTCAATGCATTTCTCTGTAAAGTGGCAGACAATGTTTCTATAGACTTCTGCATTCATTCTGCTATTACCATCATCAGTCACATCATCAGTAAAAAGCCTGTTCCAGAAGCAGCCATGCAAGCTCATGCCATAAATCCACCATGCTTCACAGATGGGCTTCTTTGTTTAGGATAGTGATCATATCGCTTCTTTCTCAATACTTTGGCCTTTCCATCACTTTGGAACAAGTTACTTTGTCTCATCAGTCTATAAAACTTTGTTCCAGAAACGTTGTGGCTTATCTCTCATGTACTTTTTTGTAAATTCCAATCTGGCTTTCCAATTTTTACTGCTAATGAGTGCTTTGCATCTTGCAGCATGGCCTCTATATTGTTGTTCTGTAAGTCTCCTTTGGGCAGTGGACTGTGATGTTTCCATCCCTTGCTCTTTGGAGGTTGTTCATGATGTTACAAACTGTTTGGGGGTTTTCTTTTCTGTTCTCACCGTTTGTCCTTCATCAGTTGTTATCTTCCTTGAAAGCCTGTTGCTCAGTACACCAGTGGTTTCTTTCTTTTTTCAGGCATTCCAAATTGTGGTACTGGTTATACCCAATGTTTTTGAAATACAGTGGTAACTCAGTTCTCGAACTCATTAAAACCTGAATTTCTTAAAAGTTGAACCAACCAGTTTGAAAAAAAAAAGACCTAGAACTTGATCTGAATCTCAGAAGTCGAACCGTGAATGCCGAACTAAGATTACTTGTACGCGCGGGGAAATGAGTCACGTCTCTCAGAAGAAACAAAGGGTAATGCTTCAGTCTCAGCCTCACATTCGTTGTGATAGCATCGTTTGTTGGTGATTTTTTTATTGAAAATATCAGGTAATACACTGTACTTTATATCATTTTGGTAGCCATTACTCACCAAAAAGTGATGCAATAGTTGTACAAATGTTACAACCTGAAAGAACAGTACATTAATCCACAATAGGCTGCTGGGATTGCTGTAGAGGCTGCTGGGATTGCTGTACTGTTCGGGAGTGGTGTAGTCGCTGTGGGCACTTGTGTTGTGCGCCTGTTGAAGCGGTTGATTTGAATTATCTGTAAAGTATATTTGAGTGTTTGTGTGCCAGCACGGTTACG